CAATCAAGAGCCCCCATCAACAAGAGTTTGGATGCTATAGTTGGCATCTGTATAAGGTTGTTATCAAGGAAATATTGCATAATTCATTCGTTTAAAATTATATTAAAGTGGAGCAGAGTCAAAGTTCAGGCGTCAATATCAAATAAATTTTGATCATAAATTACGCTTTATTCATGTACTATTATTAATTAACAGTAGCAGCAATCGATCAGATCGTAACAGTTTATTTTCAGCTATCGGGCTCGAACAGTTTGTCTAATTAGACAATACAATGAGCAGCTTATACATGGCATAAGACTAGTTTGCTGAAGTGCATGCCTTAGAAACCCCCCTTATAATTGGGTAACCTCTATCTCCTACGACAGATTGGACTTCGAATGGGGTCGTGGTGGTATGGCTTCCCAAGCGCAGCGGGAGATTCTTGCGCGCTGGAACCTAGTCGCCGATTTTCTGCAGGACTCTGAGTTTGGCCCTGAAGGCATCGATGAACCTCTTAGCTTGGAGCCGCTATACGACATTCTTTGCACCCTGACTCTACTGGCCAGCTCTCAGGTTGTTCAGCCGACAGGCAGGCTGGCTGACATGGTGGAGACTCATCGGGTTCGTGTCTGCAAACACTTAGAGACCCTACGTGAAGCATATGCGCATTTGTCCAGCCAGCCCATATCAAATGACAAACAGCGTATTGGTGGAGCAACGGAGACAGATGACATGGACTTCAATGTACCTAAGCATCATCCTCTGAAGGTAAAATATTTATTTTCGATATGAGTGGTTTTCAAGACTGACGGAAAGTTTTAAATTAGAGCTAAGTCGCCCTAGGTCGCTTAAGGTAATTTAAGGAGTGAAAGTTTAGTTTTCCTATTAGCAAATGAGCAGGCCTCAAGATGCCATTGAATTTAACTTAACCTTGCTTCCCAAAAGGTATTCCCATTCAGACAGGAGTGGACTGCAGTTTTTACCTCTGCTATGTCTTGTCAGCACTCCTAATGCGATTCGATACCGGATCGCGAGTATCGTAGCGATGTTAATATTCACATTTATAGTGGGTTAGTGGATTAAGTAAACATGTATTTTTCTTTGTAATCAACAACTTTACTTGCTCTTTATATAAGTAGTTTCCGATAATATCAGTAATCTTTGAATAACAGCAAAATATTTTAACTTATATAGCTTCAAAAAAAAACATTTGTACTAACAACTAGGAAGTGTGTAATTTGTCTGTCTAGTTTGAAGAAAAAGTTGCGTGCAATAAAATCGTGAAATGACCCCAGGGAAAACAGCGTAATTGTGATGGTTCATTCGCTCGAAGGATAACTCGGCATATATCGCTGCGAACCTGGTCAATTAGCGCTGAGCTCCTGTCCACCCAAAATGATGGATATTACTGGAGAAAGAAAGCCTCTTTTTAGAAACCTCACTAAAATTAAGGAAAATAATAGGAGACCGCAGCAATCTTACCTATTTCATATGACTTAATTTTGCAACGTTATTGAAGCAACTTCTTTTTCCTACTAGCCTGCATTTTGATATGTGGATTTTAGGTAAATGCTGGCTAAACATTTGCCTTTTGTCTAAATGACCTGCTATGTTAATTTGTGTCCTGTGTGGTTTATTATAGCCATTTAAGATGTGAGAATCTCAACTGGCGTTAAAATAATACATCTTTCGCATCCTGCTTCCTCCTCAATTCTACCAAATACCTTCAAGTAGTCCCCTCACTTTCCCACTCTTGTTCCCTTTATTCAGGTTGTTGGTGAGTTTTTTAATTGTTTTTTTAATCTTTACTCTTTCATTCAGATGTGTAAGCTCTTTATTATGTCTAGTGTTGGTTCGACCTCGTTCTCGCAACTTGGTCGGAAACTATGTGGAACGTACCTATCCATGTGTGCTTTATCATAGTATTTGTGATTTCCAGCATCAGACCATTGACTTGCTACAGTTCTAAACGTTTCGCCGACTACATAGCCGGCATCGTCAGTGAGGGACGCCCTTGTTAGCATGGAGTTACAACTTTTCAAAGTGACAACGGCTAACATTGGCGTCTCTCACTTATGATGCCGAATACGTTGCCGGTGAAAA